TTTTTTTTAGATCATGGGGGTTAGAACAATTTTAGCAGCAATTATTCTTGTAATTTTACTCTTTCAAAGCATGAGAGGTTACAATAATTTTAATGTTTTTTTAAATGCAAGGTCACCAACTGGTCACTATTTTAGAACATGGGGGTTAGAACAATTTTAGCAATAATTCTTCTTGTAATTTTACTCTTTCAAATCAGGAGATGTTAGAAAAGTTTTAATGGCAATTTTCAAATGCAAGGTTGCAAACAATCCACTTTTTTTAGATCATGGGGGTTAGAACAATTTTAGCAGCAACAATTCTTGTAATTTTTCTTTTTCAAACCGCGAGAGTTTAGAACAGTTTTAATGGCAATTTTTAATCGCGAGGTTGCAAACAATTCACTTTTTTTAGAATATGGGGGTTAGAACAATTTTAGCAACAATTATTCTTGAAATTTTACTCTTTCAAATCAGGAGATGTTAGAACAGTTTTAATGGGAATTTTCAAATGCAAGGTTGCAAATAATTCACTTTGTTTAGAACATGGGGGTTAGAACAATTTTAGCAACAGTTATTCTTGTAATGTTTCTCTTTCAAATCAGGAGATGTTAGAACAGTTTTAATGGGAATTTTCAAATGCAAGGTTGCAAATAATTCACCTTGTTTAGAACATGGGGGTTAGAACAATTTTAGCAATAATTCTTGTAATTTTCTCTTTCAAACTGCGAGAGGTTAGAACAGTTTTAATGGCATTTTTTAATCGCGAGGTTGCAAACAATTCAATTTTTTTAGAATATGGGGGTTAGAACAATTTTAGCAACAATTATTCTTGTAATTTTACTCTTTCAAATCAGAACATGTTAGAACAGTATTAATGGCAATTTTCAAATGCAAGGTTGCAAATAATTCACTTTGTTTAGAACATGGGGGTTAGAACAATTTTAGCAACAATTCTTGTAATTTTCTCAAACTGCGAGAGGTTAGAACAGTTTAAATGGCAATTTTTAATCGCAAGGTTGCAAACAATTCACTTTTGTTAGAACAATTTTAGCAATAATTATTATAATTTTACTCTTTCAAACCGTGAGAAATTAGAACAAATTTAATGGCAATTTTTAAATGCGAATTCAAAACAATTCACTTTTTTTAGATCATGGGGGTTAGAACAATTTTAGCAGCAATTCTTGTAATTTTACTCTTTCAAAGCATGAGAGGTTACAACAATTTTAATGTTTTTTTAAATGCAAGGTTACCAACTGGTCACTATTTTAGAACATGGGGGTTAGAACAATTTTAGCAATAATTCTTGTAATTTTACTCTTTCAAATCAGGAGATGTTAGAACAGTTTTAATGGCAATTTTCAAATGCAAGGTTGCAAACAATTCACTTTTTTTAGATCATGGGGGTTAGAACAATTTTAGCAGCGATTATTCTTGTAATTTTACTCTTTCAAAGCATGAGAGGTTACAACAATTTTAATGTTTTTTTAAATGCAAGGTTACCAACTGGTCACTATTTTAGAACATGGGGGTTAGAACAATTTTAGCAATAATTCTTGTAATTTTACTCTTTCAAATCAGGAGATGTTAGAACAGTTTTAATGGCAATTTTCAAATGCAAGGTTGCACACAATTCACTTTTTTAAATGAGGGTTAGAAGAATTTTAGCAACAATTATTTTTATCATTTTACTCTTTCAAGACACAAGGGTTAGAACAATTTTAGCCATTTTACGAACAATTTTAATAGCATGTTGCATGTCCTGCGAGTAATGCAATTCAATTATAATCTGTACATTATGGTTTAATTAGGGCAGAGAGATCAACATATTTTTACATGTTTTGTTTTATTTGAATTTAATGAATTTTAAATAAATACCAGAGTAATTGTGAAACTCTAGTCAGTTATGCTCATATATTGGGGTGAAAATCATATTAGCAGCAATTATTCTTGACACTTTAAAACATGCAGTTGGAAACAAATTGGGCCTTTTTTTCCTAGAACGTTCTAAAGCACGGGGTAAGATACAATTTTAATGGTAATTTTTTAAGGTTTAGAACAATTTTAGCAGCAATTATTCTTTTAACTAAAACATTTCGTTGGGAACAATTTCAGCCATTTTATTTTCTACATTTCCAAATATGGGATTAGGAACTAGTTTAACAATTGTTTTACCTTACAACTTGGGATCAAGGACTTCTTAATTGGCATTGCTTATTCACAAAGAAAACATGTCAAACTGACCTGTCCCTTATCTGTCTACGTAGCTCCATTCTTTGGTAGGTTCACAAAACAGCAGTGAAGACCTTCACAGGGGGATCCTGCCACTCCACCAATGGCCTCTCAGTGAATGAAAGACGTTTCATTAGTAGAGGTAGCAATCCCGCCCCCCTGTATCAAAAAACACTCTGGGCAGTGTCCGCCTTCTCTACCTCTGCCTTTCCAAGTGAAAGACATTACAGTAAAGCTAGCAGACCCACACCACTACCCAACCAAGACCTTTCTTGCAGTCTTTCACAAGGAAAGACGTTTCATTGCGTAAAGAGCAGTCCAACACCACTGACCAACCAAGACCTTTTTATGGTGAAGTTCTACCGTCTCTACGAGTAGCCTTTTCACTGGAGGAGATTGCAGTACCCGTCATGACCAGCCATAAGCCTTTACTGCCTGCCGTGAACAGATGCAGTCTACACTCTTGTTACAGCGGTGGCCTGACACGTGGAGACGTGGCGACTGTCCCTGTAGCAAAAGCAAACACACACAAAAAACACAATGAGAATTCTGTACTTTATACAAATGATGTCATGAAAATGTCCAAATAACATCTCAAGAAGATATACAGCAATTCACACAAGAAGCAACAAATTGTCACCGATGCGAAGTGTTTAATATGACTATTATTGGAAATGCAGGCAAATTTGTTCCTTTCTGTAAATCTAATTGCATTGAAGCGTGAGAGTCTTATCTTAGTGGATCAGTATTCTAACTTTTTCAGTTAATGCCACGTGGAAATGCTCAAGATCAGAATTGGCTTTATTCTTACTTCATTAATAAATGGGTTAATTAGCTTAACAAGATGTTTTTTCTTGTACGGAGGCAGCCTGTGCACGAACCCCATGAGACTGGTCTGAAAAATTCTGAGTGTTTTCTTAGTAAAGACTTAGATTTTCCCTAGTCAATTTAACTGTTCCCGACACGTGTTTGCTTTATTACAGTTAACGAGTCACTGTCCGGAATAATTAATGGCGTCCGCCTGTGGAACTCTTCGGAAGAAAATAATCTAGCAAGGTGTTTCACAGAACAGATCTTAGATTGCAAAAACAAATGAATCTGCTCGGAGTTCTAGTCATTCAAAGGCAACAATAAATTGTCTCACAGCAAAAAGTGCGAAAAATGCCAGTTCATTTTAGGGAACCAAAAAAGAAAGAAAACGACACAAGTACGTGTAGATACATTTGGCAGAAACAAGCAAAGTCACAATCAAAGTCTGTTTGCAACCACACATTAGAAAGCTAATCATTTCTTTGCTCATTTTTATCCCAAAAGCCGTTAAAACCTGGACGTTATTCATTAAGTGTTGCGGAGTTTAGTTGTGTCACTGTTGAATGTTACAAAAAATCCAACCGATTGAGACAAGGCACCGCATTCTTCCAATCAGATTTTCGCTTTTAACTTGAGATCCGGGCATAACCTAACATTACTCGGCGGAATCTTATTTTCCGGTCATATTTCAACTTCGATACGTTTTTCAAGAGCCCTTTTGCCAACGACATTCGATACTAAATTCCAAAACGAAGTATATTGTTTGTCTGTTCAGAATACTAACTTATTTTCCCATGCTGGTAAGAGGTTCTCTGTTAAGTATCCGATACAATGCACTTCGGGTCCCAGAAAACGGTTATTAGGGCCTCAGTTTGCATACATAAAATAGGCTCCGTTACGTCAATTAAGGGAATAGACCACAATCAAATTCATTTTGTGTTAAGGCGCTGAGCGAGTAAAGTTACAGCACTACTCGTGTTCCACAAATTAATTGCCACTTGATAACACCCGGTCGCATTTTTGCTTGAACTTCGACAAATGGTGGAGTAAAAAAGAAAGTACACGGACCAGGCCTACATTGAGGAAGATGGCTTAAGGCTTCAAAATACGTTTTCACATTTGCTACTTACAATCATTACACCTCTCTCGTTGTAACTGTTGAAAGTGACACGTTTTGGATGCTCTCACGGGAGATGTTTCGTGACACAAGGTCAGAGCAGCAAGTGACGAAATGTTGCAAGCTTCCTCGGCGAGGCAAACGTCGATCTAGAAATGCGCATGTCCGGTTACAAGTGCAAGCAAAGGAATTTCAAGATTTGCATAAATGCCCGCCCTACAAAACACATTCTACTCGTATATCGCATGATGCCTTTGCAAATCACCACTGGACCAAATACGGCGATTGGACGCAACAAATAATTGGAACACCGTCAAAGAAAATCGTGCGTAACAAATGCTATTTATTCATTCTTAAGTTCGTCTGGGGGAACGTTGAGGGAACGTATCAAAGACTGAACAGCATGCAGTATGCGCGTTCTTTTATTGCCGAAGTTGGGGCTTTAAATCAAACAAGCCTTTTTGTTAGTTCTTTTGATTCAATTTGAATTCTCCACACTAAAGACACTGCTGCTATTACTCTTGATTCGGGGCAAGTTTTTGTTAGTTACATAAGAGACGCCTTGCACCAGTACACTGTTTTCAATGGATAAGAAGGGCACAAATTTAAGGACTCTACATTTCGGAGGTCTCTACGCAAAAGCTTGCCCCGAATCACGAGGTATAGCACAGTATCTTTAGTCTAGGGAATTTGAATTGTGTTGATGTGCAATCATATGACTCACTGTACCAGATTTTAGTCAAATTAAACTCTTAAACATCTTTCTCGAACTCCTTGGTATTTTTAGAGGCATCCAATAAAAGAAGCACTTGGCGAAGCCAGCAGTCGCAGATAAACGTTTATATGTGATCTCAATAAATATACAGGGGATTTAGCCTACAGTGGAATTATCCTACAGAAAAAAGTGAACACAGTAAACTTCTCTCTTTGCTAATATTACGAAACTAAGTTCTTCAAGTTCCTGATTGAGACACTTCAAGAGAAAAAGCAAAAAACTGTGTGAACGTTTTGGAAAAGTAAAAGAACTGCTTCTTTTGTGATTATTTTGTACACACGAGCGAATAACAATTTAAAACAAAAAAAGGAAATAAGCAAATTCAAATAAATCAAATTAAAAATCAACAAACAGCACACACACCTGACAGAGACAACAGTTAGAATACCTTTTATTGACAAATTCTTCACAAAATATGTTGCTGGTGTGGGTCAAGGGCAAGTCAATGAAATAAAAAAGAGTAAGACGGAAAACAAGACAACTATTTTAGCCTTATTATAGACCTACCAAAGGTGAGGGCGAAGGGAAAAGAGGCATTTTATTGATTGAGAGAAAAACATTGGGAGTCCGTTTTATTTTCCTTCCTTCTAATAGTATATTTTAGAAAGGCCATTAAACATTGCGTGACAAAAAATAAAAATTTTATGGGTCCACCCTCCCCCCAAAAAAATTAACTGTCCCCCTTTCAAAAAAAGGTGTGCCCCAAATCTGCCCACACCCAAAGTTTACGTTTCCAGCTCCTTCTTGTGCATACCTTCCGAAGATGTACACAAAATATACATGCAGCTAGATGTTAACAGAACGTGCATTTGGTGCTGGTAAATTAACTCCTTCGCCATTTTTGTGCAAAATAATACTGTGTATCGAAATAAAGGTTTCACAACCTTTAGTTAGTTACATGTACTCCTAATTAACCTGTGTGCTGCTTAAAAAAAAGCTAAACAAAGGATAAGGAAAGACCCATCACCAGTTAGTTTGAAAAATCATTAGACAAAATGTATGTAAAAATAAATGCAATCCACTACTACAACGCATTAGTACATCAAAAGTATGATGCCAAACACTGTAAGGTTGCATCTGAAAGAATACCGCTAGTTTAGAAGTTTCCTGTTGATGCCTGACTTGCATCTCTGCCATTATGGAGGATTAAGCAACATCGTTTTACAGATTAATACGTAAAACCATCCTTTTCTCTAATTGGGCTGATGGTTCTCTGAGCTTTCTGCACATTCCGGTACTGGATTTGTGAATAAAATTAACAAGCTTTCTTTGGAATTAACTATTTATTCAGAAAAAAAGGATAATGATTCACCTCTTCATTCACCAACATGCCTATGTTCCCTATTTACAATAAATTTAACAGCAATGG